ATTTTTTTTTTATATAAATTGAAATTTTCACAAAAAAATCGCATAACTCAAAAACAAAACCAAATTTTGTTCTCAAACTACGATCACATTTTTTATATTAGTTTAATTTGTATTAATTATTATTTTCTGCAAGCAAATGATTGAAAAAACGCTTGGTTCCATATTCATATTTATATTCACCCTGAATACTATCCCTGTCTCGACAAAGTCACTCAATACAGACTTCAAAAAGATACAAAATACGTGTTGCAGGTTTCTGCTTAAGCTAAAAAAATATTGTCATATTTTTTTTGAACATCTGAACTTGGTTGGCTTAAGTTGGACAACGTTTTCAAACACTTTTTATCAGTTTTTGTTCACAAAATATACAGGTGCGCCAGAACTCGCGCCCCAGAGATACCAGGAACATGGAAAAAATTTTATCTATAAAAATTTCGAAGTTATGAGGGTTGAAATTTTGCACTTTGACTCTATTTAGTTCTGTTAGAAAAATTATTTTCCCAGTTTTTTTTGCTATAGTCTATTAAAAGAGGAAACAAGAAAGCTGTATCCTAAGTTATGATTCTGTTCAATGTTATTTGTGGCTTTTATTTGCAAAATATTTGTACCTTTACTAAATATTTGTAAAAAAAACATTAACAAGATCATCAGTATCATTAAATAGACATAAAAAAATGTTAAATGTCAAAAAATTTTTACAGATAGAATTTTTTAAACATCTTTTCCATATTCCTGGTATTTTACCTTATTTGAAATTTTTTCTGGGGCGCGAGTTCTGGCGCACCTGTAGATATCCTCAACACTACCATTTCCGTGGTAGTGTATAGATTTAATATCTATAATGCAAACTTAAGATTTACTTTACTGTCTTTACCTTATTTCTATTCATCTATGTTTCAGCAATCTTTTACTTATAATGCAATTTGTGTTTAGAGTAAATTAAATGCACAATTGAAATCGTTGTTTTTTAAATAATTTTTGCAGAGAAATTAAAGTTTTTTTTTCTTTGCAATTTTAAGTAAGCATATAGCAGGTATAAGACCAAATAATAAAAATTTAACATTATAAATTGTTGTTCTCTTTTTGCTTACTCTCCTCTTTCTTGTTTGTTTTTCTCTTTTTGTTTAAAACATTATATTTCTTTATATTATATTTTTTATTTTTATTCTTCTTCTATTTTGTATTAGTTATATTTTGTATTGGGTTAAGTTGAGTAGCCTCGTCTAAACTTTGTCCAAATAAAGATAATAAATAAATAATGGAGATATGATTCTTTACCTTAAATGTATAGATTTACTAGTGGCATCTTTGAAAACTCAAAACATTATTTATTTATTATAAATTTGGCCAAGCAACAACGTTTTATGCACTTTTATGAGCTTATAAGATCATTATTATGAGTGCAAATTGAGTAAACTGGACATGTTTTCTGTTTGTGAACTCGTGTAATTACTTATGCATTATTATTTAGACAGTAAGTCTCCTCTCTCTGCACTTAGGTACTTTTGGTATTTGTAATTACTTTGGTGTTGATACATATCAAATTTTATTAGATAACGAAAACAGAAAATAGCAGATTTTTTTAATGAGCCAATGCAAAGTTATTCTGGTACAGACTGTGTTGTGAAGTAAGTCGTGTCGAAAAGAGTAGTGTCATCTCGATGCGATTCAATTCTGTTATTATAATGCAGTCTGAATAATTCGATAATCTATATTCGAAGTAACATGCTGATATGGTAATAATATCAAAATGATATTAGAAGCAAACGTGCACAGACTGCTCGCAGCTCGGCGATGAGTAATCTTTTTGTGTGTCGATGTCGGGGTCGTCGTTGGCGGCATCGGTGGAATAAAGAAGCCGCCTGGGGGCCTTCTCTGTGTATATCTAGCGTCGGGTAAGTCGTTGAGCGTGGGTTACACACGGCCGGATATATCCATCTATCCATTCTCGGCACAAAAGTAACTCTGTGAATATAAATCACCGTCATTGTGCCGCTTCAAAATAATCAAAAAGTTGCAATATATCAACAGAAAAAACGCAAATGTGTGTTTTAATTGCAGGTGTGGACCGTTCGTATCGGTCGGACGACACCGAAGACGCCGTCACCACTGACAACCCGACGACGCCGTTCCCGACCCCGCCGCCCACCCTCGTGTCGCCCCGCTCCCCCATCCCTCTGCACCGGCAAGCGTCGCCGTTTCCGATGGAAAATACCAATACCAGAAGGATTCATTATGCCACGCCGCAGGACCGGCTTCGAGCCAACAATGGTATTATTCTCGTTGGAGGATCGAATCCGATTCGAAACGGCTAAAGAAATGTTTTTTCAGGCGAGGTTATCTACGCCACCAACAAAAAGAACCTATCGAATAGCACGCTGGGCAGGACGGGGAGAGGAAGACACAGGACGGGCGGTATGACTTCTTCGAGTAGCGCCACTTCTTGTAACAGCTGCAATGACGGCAGGATACAGACGCAAGGGAACACTGATATTGCCTATCATGACACGCAGCAACGGCTCTGTCTCAATAACGGTAAAATTGGACGAATTTGCATGTGATAGGGCGCCCCTGGCGGGTTTTCCAAATTCAAAAACAGATTTTGAATCACTTATCTAACAAATTTATAAACAAATATTTTGTGCAGCAAAGGCGCATTTATGTTATGTCTGTATTTCTAAATTTTTTTACCTACTCGTATATTGTGCTTTGCATTAAGAAAAAAAAACACACAAAACGTTATTGTAAAAACATATTTTAATACTAGCAATAAAACTAACAAATTAAATAGTCTACATTCTTTTAAGGTAGATTTTACATTGACCTGCAAAATTATATTAAAAATTGAATTCTTTCTCGTTGCAATCTTTTTTTATGTAAATTTAAAATCATCAAGAATTTTATTCTCAAAACGTAAAAAAAAAACGAAAAATTAACATATCTCCAAATGTTATGAATTTATTTATTACATGAAGCAATATTTGCATCTGCGAAACGTGAAATCGTTTCCTTATACTGGGTGAGTCTGTTAAGAATATATTTCAACTTTATATCAAAAACTAATAATCACAAAAAATCTGCGTTTGTTAGATGTTTTCAACAATTTCTTATACTAGTATTAATTAATTTATATTAATTCGCTTAAAAAACATTGTATTATTTCTAATGTCATTCTAAATCATACAATGCAAAAAAGTTACTCTTTTGAAGCCGAAAAAAAGACTAATGTTCCTAAGAACCAACTGGACTTAGTGTAGGCGAAAAATTTGAATACAAAATTAAAACGTTGCCAGAAAATTGTGTTTCTATTAACTCATCTAAAATTTCCAAATATCGAGCGATCAAGATAATTTGTAATCGAGTCGTCTTTGGATCCGAAAACGTATGTCTGTAAAATGTCAAGTCGAAAGGTAAAATGGCTTTAAGGTGATGACTATAATAACTAAATTTATAATTTACCTTCAAAAAGGAACGGTCCTACTCGTATTATTATACGTCGGCGACTAATTCTAACCCATTTTACCGTTTTACCTTACGACTTGTCATTTTATTTGACGTTTCCCGTGAAGTTAGTTCAAAAACAGACATACGATCTCAGATGCAGTTACAAATTATCTTGATTGCTCGATGTAATCCCTAAACCTTTTTGTCACACTTACTCTTTTAGTAAAAAATAGCGTATTTTCATGAATTTAAAAAGTGTCAGTCTATAATTCATCAAAATATTGAATGTTGAAAAGGATCGATTGTAAAAATTACTTCAAGCTGAGAATTAATTTTTGAAAAATTTTTGAAATCTAATTTAATATGCTTGGAAGTATTTGGAATTATTAAAATTACCCTTAAATTACTGAAATTGTTTGTGAATTACTAGAATTTTTGTGGAATTACTGGAGTTCTTTTTGGAATTATCGGAGATAATAATAATAATTTCTTTTAAAAATTAAGTTAAATTTCTTAGAGCTATCGGAATTAATTTAGAATAACTGGAATTATTTTGGAATTACGAAAATGAAGTTGGAATTACTGGAATTAACTTGAAATTATAGGAACTAATCTGAAAACAATGAAATTACGATAGATTATTGGAATTACGGAAATTTCGGTAGAATTTTTTTGGAATTTGAATTAGTTGCACACATTTTTTTTAAGTTAACAGCCCTTCGCTTAACGCTAAAACAAAAATTCACAACTTGTTTTTATTTGTTTGTGGATTTAGTGAAAATGTTAATTGTTTTACACAAAAATCAGTTTCCTTAAAAAATTTAAGGAATGTTCGAAGAAATCGAGGAACTTTTATTCTCAAATCGGTTTGTGACATCAGTCCGATTATTTATTGTAATTATTGTAAATAATGCGTTGATTGAAAATAGTTTAAATAATTTTTATTTTACTTAAATTTTATTTATTTATTTTATTTTACATAAATTACAAGGGTTTTACTTCCAATTCAAAATTGTTTTAGGATGTGGCCAGCTTGGTGCAATTTTAAATTTATTAGTGAAATATTGTATTTTATATACACAAATAAACTTGTTTTAATTTTAAATGTTTTTCTTCTTTAAACTCTTGTCTTTAGTTTGTAATAAAAATAACTCACATTTGTATAAATTACTCCCTTTATTATTAGTGTGCAACCAAATTTACTAAAATTACAACAAAAATTATACTTATCACAAATTATAGACCTACTCGTAAACTTTTACATTCACTTCTAGGATATTAATTCTCGTAATAAAAACACTCGTAATATGTTATTTTACATATTATATTATATGCAGCGATATATCGTTGGTATTTATTAATTTCAGCGTTAAATCTACTCCATGTACAGTTTGTTTTTGAGCTCATGTTATACTTTGTGACACTCGATCTGTCACTGCTTCATCGCACAATATTTAATTGTTATTGAATTTTCTTTCGTTTGCCGTCTCTCTGTTTTAAATAAAAACAAATTTGTTGTGACCAAATCCCGTTATTGCAAATTAAAATTCTGTGCAAACAATTCATGTATGTATATTTTTATGATTTAATAAATGGATTTGTTGTAATTAATCAAGAGACAGCACACCTGTGTGAAAAAATCTCGTTTTGATGCAAATATTCGTTCGTATATTTGGCATTTTTGGGGTTTTAGTCGGACCGTTACAAAAGTGCATCAAAACTATTTAGAATCGCAATTAAGCGTTAATGAGTTTTATTCCATCAAAAAGCCCCCAGTAATTAAAGCCGACTGATGCTGTTTACAATGACAAGCGAGTGGACCGTCGGATGTACACTCCGCTGAAGGGATTTCAGCCCCAGCCGGACTGCGGCTATCGGATTTGCGATCTAATTATAAAGTTCGCCGTAAAGTTCCATAGTTGCCGCAGCGCTGAGCGCTAATGGGATATATGGAAGTCGTATTTTTCGAAAATTTCACACGAAAACCCACCTCGTTAAAAGCGAGAGAAAAGACAGACGAATTGCTCATTTCGGATAAATTAACTCTAATTTTATAAAAAAAAAACCGGCTGAACTAGAGTATTGTCACATCTACGATACTGAACATGTGCCCGTTTTGCGGAAAAAGTCGGGACTTTGGCCTCTTGTCGGAGTAGCAAGCGACTAATCTAATTACTCTTCGAACGAAGTTAAGGTAATGAGTGACGACTCGTAATTAGCTTAGAGTCGGCTAGGTGGCGCCACTACACGTATCCACCATCGCAAAACTCGATTAGTTAATTATCTCGAGGAAATCAGGAAACATCCGAGAAAAGAATTATGAAGGCAGGATGAATTCAGGGACGATTTTTAATTGATCGTAGGGAAATGTTCGCGTAATTAGTTATTGTCAGTATCGTATGAAAGAAAATTGGGTCTAGTTCTGGCTCCTAACGCGGATGATTAATGGTATTTCAGCTTTTGTTGCGTTGTTGTCTTAATAAAAAAAAGCGCGCTACGGTTTTGTAAATGTTATTTCACAAAGTCAAAGCTTAACAAACATGCCGGAAATACGTGATCGATATTAACAATGACGAGTAGAATTAATGAGTGCCAGCGGAAATCGTACCGGAGTTGAGTTAATGCGATAGCGGCTTTGATGGATTCGGAAAAAGGAAGACTTCTAAAAGAGGAAACAATTTGTCAAGACGTTATTTTTAATTGTTGCAATCGGGAGGTTAAGGAGAGATACTCCAAACCTATTGTTATATAATTTCGGGTTAATTAGCCCACTTTAGGACCAATTAAACTTAAGTACAGAGTGTTAAATTAATTTAGTTGAAATTGATTAAGCAAAACAATAAACTAGGTAATCTGCTATAATGTTACTAATCAAACTTTATATTATTTTGCGTTAGTTTGCCTTTCTAACTATTATAGTTATTTAAATGGTAAAATAGTAAAATAATGAATGAAACTGTGATCAAATCTTTTCGTATTCAAAAATGTTGTGTAAAAATTATGGGAGGCTCGCGGCTTTGCCGCTCGTCCCCTTCCAGAATTTATGCCGAGCCATCGAAAAAAAAAATTAGAGTAGGCGACGATTAATATTCTACAGTTGACAACACGTTACTGACGTTACTGGCGGAAGTAAATTATAAGTTAGGTTAATCTTTTAAAAAACCTCTCAGCTCTACAAATGCAACCAGTAAATACAAATTGTTATTTCTATTTAAATAAACTTGGCATTATCCAATGCCAAGTTTATACTTGTAGAAGAATATTGAATGGTTGCTCGTGGGCTGCAATACTGGCATAATTCAAAAGAAATTATTTTGGTGGTGTTACAAGATTCTTTGCTTCAAGTTAGGGCATGGCAAATGGACTTCTGTAGTTCTGTTCAGCAGTGGGACTGGCATATCTCTAAAACTGTTTCTTCAAATAAATTCAGGCATTTATAAAATTTGATTGACGAGCTGTTGGTAAGTGGCTGAAGAGTCTGGAAATTTTCCACACAAACTGGAAGTGAAAATGACAATTCACCATTTTTGTCTTGTACAGCATTCTTGTAATAACTTGCAAAAATAAAAATTTTCTGCTCTAAAGTGAACATTATTTCACTCAAAATAAAGAAAACATAAACTTGTTTCCGCTGACATTTGAAGTCAAAAATCAGGATTGCCAGCTGAAGGATATTAATCACTTCCTACTCTAATTTATTTTTTTTTGATCGCGCAGTACTATCTGATTTGCAAATGTTCTGTCAAAATTATCAGGGGCTTTGCCCTTGAGTAAAACTCACATTATCAATTTAGCTCGCAGTTTTATCGCTCACCCCTTTTTAGGCCTTACATTAGGTATCTGATTCGCAAATGTTTTGTCAAAACTATCAGATTTTATAGAAATTTATAGGGTGGCTCACGGCTCTGCCGCTCACCTTCTTCTACACCTCACACTATCTGATTCGCAAAACTTATGTCAAAATTGCCGAGCGCTTTGCCCCGTATAAAACCTACACTATCAAATTTTGTCAAAATTTAGGTACACAGTATGTCCCCGGATTGAGTTTACAAGAGGATTTTTTTTTTAATTTTACGCTAAAACTGCAAAGGAAAATAATTTTTCTTCACCTGAAACGAGCAAATCTGGAATTAAAACTTGTTCTGATTTGATGAAAAAAAAGTTTATTTTTCTCTTGATTTTGGACTTAATAATAATAATTTTTCTCTGCTTTTTAAATCCTATCACATTGGCGGTTTTATTCATTTGACAACTGTATGTCACTTTAACAATTAATTTATTAATTAAATAATGATAGTTCTTGTTAAAAATGACTGTTTTTTTTATCTTAAAGCTGTTTCTTTGAGTTGTTATTTATCAATATTATGTTTTTCACAAAGATTTTTGTTATTTAACTTGCGAAAACTCATTTGTCAATGTGACATCATTGACTAAAAATAAAACCGCCAATGTGATGGGATTTAAAAAGTAGAGAAAAATTATTGTAAGTACAAAATCAAAAGCAAAATGTACTTTTCTTTCTACTGAGTTAAAATAATGAAGTTTTATCCACAATCACTCTATAAAGAGAGTTTATTCCACACTTTAGATGCGTATAAACTACCACTTTATCCACTAGTGGAATAAAGTAACTTTATTCCACTGTTAGTAACCAGCGCACCGCGTAACAGCTTACTACGTTTAACCGAAAGCACATTTGGCGTGACTTTTAAATGTCAGTATAATTTTTAATTAAGTTTGGAATAATTTGGGCCTGTGATTGTGGATAAAACGTTATATTGCAGTCGTGTGTTTGTCACGTTTTATCCACTTAAGAAAATTAAACATTCTTGCGTGGATAAAATGCTATCTAACACACTCTTACAATAAATAACTATTAATTACAGATTTAAAATCAAAGATAAAAAAACTGTTCCTCTTGTAAACTCAATCC